AGAGTAGAGGAGATGAGGACCACACCATCTTTGGGAAAGTTGGCTATAAAACATGAGAGAGGTCAGAAGCTTGCCATGACATAAGCAGTCAACTGAGGGAGAGTTTACACTTTTCACGCTTTGATTGGTTCTGGTTTTTGAGGTAGCCTGTTTCAACACTGACAAAAACATCACTTGTAGCAGAAGAGATTGAATATGCAAGAGAAACAGGGTTTTTTTTTTTCAGGAGGTTCAAGGTGAGAGCACTGAAAAAAGAAAAAAAAAAACAAAAACAAAAAACAAAAACCTGCCATGCTACCCAGAGCCCCTGCAAGCTCCCTGAAGATCACAGGTCTGTTTGTGCTAAAAGCTTAAGGACCGGCTTTTGGAAAGCATGATTTCTGAATCAACACCCAGTAGCGTGGCCTAATAATATACATGTATGTGTCGTGAGTCACATGCTCAGTTCATCTTCACTTTTTTCCTAGGAGCTGATGAAGACGTAGAGAGTCCAGAGCTGACAACATCCCGACCAGTTCCAAAGATCTCGTTCACTAGTGCTGTTCCCAAAGTGGAAAACATGACACTGAAGACACAGAGCATTACGCCTGCTCAGACCAAGGTGCACTTGCTTGGCGTTGCGTTAGCATGTACTTGTGAATATTGCTTTCTTTTGACTTCACAGAATAGTCCACTTGAAATTATGTAGGGGCAAACAGCCCTTCCATTCTATTGCTGTAAATGGCTCTTTGCTTTTTAGCAACATCTTACGGTTGACCTGCTTACTATTCTTATCATGTAGGCCTAACTTCCTTATGAATATACTGTTTTTAACATGACACTCTCTCTTGTGGAGCTTCTTTTGCCCAGTTATGAAGCAAACTCTAATTTAGCTTAAGTCAGATTTTTTTTCCCTTGTGTCAAAAAACATGGTGAACTTTAGTTCTTCAGGAACAGGGTAAGGAACTCAGGCTCCAGGTCCTATCTTAAGGTCTCAGTGAGTGTCTAGGTCCACCACCATTGCTGCACAAACATGCTCCACTCTCAGATACACATGGACCTGCTACACCTTCACCAGTATTAATTTGTTGTGAGAGCTTACTTAATAAGAATGAGATGGTTAGTCTTAGAACAAAACTACTAGCTAATGAAAACACTGGGTTTATGCATTTGACCTTGGTAGCATTATATCGTGCTCAGCAAGCCATCTACTAACAGGTAAGCTATTTAATATGGAAATTGCATACTAGAGCGCATCGAAGGACTAAGCATTGAGTTCTGGATCTAGTCAAATTTCTTGGATCATTAGGAAGACTAGATGTAAATATATGTAGCAGGCACACGAGGCCTGGTAAGCAATATATAAATATCAGTTGAATTTGGTGGAGCAGAGGCATTCAAGCCAGCTCACCAAGTGAGCATGAGTAATAATTTCATTTTAGACTTTACTCACTTCTAGGATGGCATGCTGCTTATGAAAACTTAGCAACACAAGCATCCCATTTTTCAGTTCATCCGTCTGTTTGTTTAGAAATAAGATACTGCCAAGCTCTCTCAGTGAGCAGGCTTTGGAAGGCTGTTCCCTGAAAGGTAGTGACAGGCATTTGTAGTGATATATTATTTATGATTTATTAAAGCTTGACTGAGGATTCAGAAAAGTAAAGTCAGCCTCAAGCTATAGAGATCAGGCAGTGGTGATACACACCTGTAATCGCAGCAGCCAGAAGCTAGGATCCTTTAATCCTTAAACTCAGGATTAAGAGGTAGATGGATCTCTAAGAGTCCAAGGCCACCCAGATCTACACAAGAGTGAATCAGTCTAAAAGAGAATTACAGCCCACACCTTTAATCCCAACACTAGGGAAGTATATAAGACAGAAGCAAGGGCTCAGTAGAGACAAACTTTTCCAGCCATACTGAGGAGAGGCAGCAGTTTGAGGCTTGGTGGGAGCTTGTGCGTGGATCAGCCCTTTCACCCTGATCTAGAGGCGAGAGCTAGTGGCTGGTTGTTTTGCTTTTCTGAACTTCAACATGAAGTTTGAACCCCATATCTGTCTCTGTGTCCTTTTATTTTTTCCATGTTACAGGCATTGTGGGATAAGAAGGACCCCTCTGCTTGCAGAAACAGGCAGGCATTTTTTTAACTGTTCCTCCTCTTCTAGGTTCTCCCCACTCATGGGATTTTGAAGTCGTGACACAAATGGGTAGCTCCCTGCAGACATGCAGTAGCCAGAGCTCAGCTCTGTGTGGATTAAAGCACTTTTTCTGGGGTCATGGGGGCATTGGTACTATTGTCAGCAGTCTGATTCCACAGCCAGGAAACAGGAAGGCAAGGAGATATGCTGTGAGGACTAGTGTTTTCTGGGAGCTGTTCCATTGGTTTCTAAGTTGAATAAATAAAAGAAACGAGGAGGGAAGAAATGAAAAGTAGCAGGTGCTATTGATGGTAGGATGAGTAAATATGTCAGCCCATGTGTGGCAGTTAGCTTGTGTGCCTGTGGGAAGATGGCCTTGGTATCTCACACAGTTTTACTTGTCCTCTTCTCTTGCAATGTTTTCAACTCTGTGACAATTGAGACTCCGTATCTTGTAGTCAGAAGCTCTCCTGGGGAAGTTTTGGCTTTCAATCCTAAGAAAACCCCAGTTTGGTACAGATTTCTGGACTACTGACAAGTATGGATTGAAAATTGATTTAAGTTTGTAAAATTTAATCCTAAATAGTAACTGGTTCAGCTTTTGTTAACAAAAGGACATTTGGTGATGAGTTTGGAAGTTAGAGATCCCTGGACATATTAATGCAATTATTTCTATTTTTAGTTGTGTTTACTGTAATGATGAGAATTCAACCATTTGTGGGAGGTTTATTCGGCATGTGTCAAACACTATCCTAGGTGATGATAATGAAGATATTGATGACGATCAACAATAATAACAATATAATTTTCTGTTTATAGTTACATGGTATGGCTGAACTCAACATTGCCTATAAGATGCCATTAGTGAAGATCCTGCTTTTGAATGAATAGGTCTCACAGTGGCTTTGCTGTCACGGGTATAGATGTGCTGTCTAGTTTGTTATGACTGAAGAGTGAAAAGAGCTCTTCCTTGTTTTTCTGGAGCCTGGTCTTTTCCCCACCACATTTTCACAGCCTCTAGACATCCAGACATGGATTCAGTAAACATTCAATTGGCTTCATTTAATTATCCGTGCTCCCTTTTCATAATTTGAGTTTGCATAGGCATATATCTGAGAGGCATTTCGGATTAGCTCTGTCCTGGATGGTGGTTTCTTCACCGTGGAGCCTGCGCTGCTTCTGTTTAATTGAGCATCTCGTTTTAAAAATGATTGCTCTGTCTGGATCACCTTGAGGCTCATGTACTGACTGACCACTCTCCTAAGTGCCGTTTCTGTGAAGAGCAGTCTAGAGCATCCCTTGAGTGATTTTTTTTTTGTCCCCTTCTTATTCAGAAGTTGAGTCAAAGGGAACTGAACAAGTCAACTTATAAATGACTTTAGAGACTTAGAATAACAACAGGCAAAGCTTGTCTCAATAATAGATTAACGATACTAAGGATTACATAAATTTGGGGGTGGTTCTCAGCTTCAGTGTCTTTTATTCCGGCAGTATTCATTGACAACTTTTCCTGGACACACATGAGTATCCACCTGCCTGATTTTCCTCTGCCCTTCCCTAACTTCTCACAGCATAGCAACCAAAGCAAGGCTAAAGCATGTGCCTCCTTGATGAGGACTCAGATAAGACACTCTCTGATCTGCTGCCCGCCCTACCAGGCTGCCAGTTGGAGATGGGAATTCCATAAGAAGAAAATGGAGAGAACCAGCAAAATACTGCCAACAGGCTTCTCTCATCTGTTTACTTGGATGCAGCAGGACTAGGGAGGACCTTCCATGTTTGCCTCCAGACTCAGACAGAAAACAGAGAAACCTAGCTTTGTGTTTATGCAGTGATAAAATGATAATTTATGGAAATCATGGCAGCTTAAGATCTATGCAGTACAGAGTTTCTTGTAGTTGGAAAAGAAAATGACACTGTTACATTACTATGACTGTGTTTGGTTGAAGCCTCGTGTATTCTGATCACAGAGATGGGGACCCACTGAACCCCCCTCAGGTGAACCCCCCCCTTGTATAGCTTGTGTTTCTTTTCAGACATAAAGATGACTTTGAAGTAGTCCAAGAAAATGAACTCTTAGTTCTTTTGCCTTCTTGAGCGGGATGCATTCCAGCCTTCAAAATGCAACTGAATGACACATGGCACGTTACTCTGGAAAACATGGCTGGACATTCTTAGGAAGAATTAGAATAGGTTTGGCTAGGGAGGAGGCTCATTGTCTACTGACCTTATAGTTTAAGAGAGTTGACAGTGTTTTCCTATCAGTAGTGCCAGCCAATGAGAAAGAACTTCACCTGATGGAGATCGGCCAGTTCGCTGGAACCTGACTTCTCTAAATCAGGGTTCTCCACCCATACCACCATCTGAGGGATTGTAAATAACAATAAAAACCAGCATCACATTCCCAACAGCAGACCAACTGAACAAAATCTCTACTCAAAGGACATGTGGTGTGTGTGTGTGTGTGTGTGTGGAGAAGGAGAGAGAGGGAAGAGAGAGAGAGAGAGAGAGAGAGAGAGAGATGGGCTGCTTGCCTCACTGGCCTATAGCAAGCTGGCCAGAGCCTTAGGATCTTACCATGTCCCCCACCCTGTGTTTTCACGTGGCTTATGGGAGTTAAACTCATGTTTCCATGCTTGCAAAGCAAGCACACACTTTATGGACAGGGCTATCTTCCCATCCCAGAAAGTAAAGATTCTGAGAATTGTCAACTAAAATAACTATACATATCATTCTTATATTATGAATTCATTAACAACCCACCTTTGCTGCCATGATATAAAAGAAAAACACACGCTACACAGGTCCAATCGGGGGCCTCGCCCATGGGCATATAAACATTATACAAATTATTATTACTATGATTTACTAAACTTGTTTTTAAAAATAAAGGAAATTGGGGATATACTTGCTGTCATTTCTTCTTCCTAGTACATCTTTGAAGGGTGATATTAATGTTTTCTTTCTTCTCCACATCAGTCACCTGAAGAAATTGACAAGGAGGAAGTTGGCATCTCTGAGGCAGAAGAGAAGCTGGGTCCTGCTGTAAAAAGTACAGATGTGTACACAGAGAAACATTCAGACAATCTGTTTAAACGGACAGAGGTCCTAGCAGGTGAGTTGTGAGCAGTGTCAAGTGGGAAAGAGCTTAAAGATGCCCCACTGGGGGAAGTGTCGTTCAGTGGCCATAGTAAAGCATGCTAGTAGTCTCCTGGAAGCGATCTGCAGGCTCTTTGTTTCAAAACGACAGGTGAGGGGTTAGGATTACTTTGTCTGTTTTCTGTTAACTCCTCTAGCCTATTCCTCAGGCAGCCATTGGTAAGAGGCTAAAGTTGTAGGAAATTCCAAGTTACGGTCCTTTGGATTACATGTGTAGAGTGTCTTCGAAAACATAAATGGATTTCATGTTTAAACCTGGACCTGATCCCTGTTATCTTATTCCACATATATAAATATTCAAAAATCTGAAAAAGTCCATACACCCAAACACTCCTGGTCCCAGAAATTTCTGATAAGAGGAGTACACTGAAGCCTGTATTGGCATTTGTTTTAAAGGTGAAGATTTGCAAGATTTCACAATACCTCAAACTCAAGAATAGAAAGACATTTGCATGCTTTTGTATTTACTTTTCAGTTTTTAAACTCCGTTGTATCATGTTTTGTACTTTCATTGTGATTAGAAGTGTACACTGTGAAATGCAAGCACCGAACGCAAGTATTTGAAGTGTAGGATTAGTGGAGGTTGATGCTGGGTGCTTGTGGGTTGATATTACGTACTTTGTGAAGGATGGATGACACTACTGAATCTTCTTAAAACTTGGGTTCTCAAATTAAACCTTTTATATAAATGTCAGCAGATTGGAACTGACCAAGCTAATTCCTGGAAACCTTGACCCTTTTGCATTGTTTCAGCTGTCATCGCTGGTGGGGTGATTGGCTTTCTCTTTGCCATTTTCCTCATTTTGCTGTTGGTGTACCGCATGAGGAAGAAAGATGAAGGAAGCTATGACCTTGGGGAGCGCAAACCATCCAGTGCAGCTTACCAGAAGGCGCCTACTAAGGAGTTTTACGCGTAAAAGCTCCCACTAAGTGTCTCTATTTGGGAGATCACTGAACTTTTCAAAATAAAGCTTTGGCATAGAATAATGAAGATCTTTGTTATTTGTTTTGTTCATTACAGAGCCATACTGGCCCTTTAATGATAAAAAAAAAATCCCATTGTATTTAAAACTTTTCATGTATTTCTTTAGAATGACATAAAAAGTAAAAAATTTAACATCTGCAGTGTTCTGTGAATAGCAGTGGCAAAATATTATGTTATGAAAACCCTTGACATTCATGGAATTGGTTTGAACATCTATGCGCAAATACAAAATGATTGTGTTTGTCCTCTGGTTCATCAGCTTGTCTCCAATTGACCTTACCAAGTTGGTCTTTGTTAATTTATCTCTTGTCCCTCTTCTCTGCCCTCCCTTCTTGTCCCCTTCCTTAAAAACAAAACCTTATGCCTTTTGTAGCTGTCACGGTGCAATTTGTCTCTGAATGATTACAATAATGGTAATTTGGTGTATATGTGATTTTTTTTTTCAAATATGTAAACCTACTTTATGTACTTTTTAAATGTCAGACTATCCATTTTACACTTGCTTTACTTTTCATTACCTGTAGCTTCAGGCAGATTTGCAACAGCAAATTAATGTGTAAAATTGGATTATTACTACGAAGTTGTTTAGTTCTAGTGATCTAATCAGATCTTCTTTTGGGAGGATTTGACGTGAGTAACTGACAAGCCTCAGAAAACCCAAAGATGCTAACAGTATTTTGAGAAGTTGCTGCAGATTCCTTGGCCACTGTGCTTGTTAATTTCCTGCAATTTGAAGGTACGAGGAAGACTTTAAAGAAAAAAAAAAAGATCAGCTTTTGTTCTTAAAAATGCATTTAAGTTGTAAACATCTTTGTAAGCCTTTGAAGTGCCTATGATTCTATGTAACCTATTGCAGACTGGTGTTAATGAGTATATATAACAGTTTAAAATACAGCTGGTATTTTATAAGCACAGACAATTCTAATGGTAACTTTTGTAGTCTTATGAATAGACGTAAATTGTAATTTGGGAACAAACAAACTACTGAATAAATCATGTGGCCTAATATTGGAAATGTCACTGTTATAAATTTTGTACATTTTTGTCAAATGTACATCTCCCCCTTGCTATGACTGACCGTCTGCTCTCAGCAATGATGTGGGTTTGATATCTAACTATTTCATGGTGTCTTTTAAGTCAAGACCAAAGAGCCCAACAGCAAGGCTGTTTATTACCAGAGTCACCTCTGAATTGGCCAGAGGAAATGTATGTATCGTCCTACATATGTCTAGGTACAAGGTTAGGAAGGCTGCCAGGGATTTCAAGATTTGCAACCTTTATAGCATAGCTACTGGCAAGATTGAGAAAGATGCCTTTTTTTTGCAATTTACTCTTTAAAGTATAAATTCAAAAGAAGTGAAGGGACCTTTCTGGAAGTAGGTGTCTGGGGCTCAGATCCATTTATCTGTCAAGGCCCACCACCCCCAGAG